GTCTGGGTTGCACCATCAGTTGGAAATATTGGTCATGGTCGTACCTAAAACTCCACCTAGGCCTATTATCGAGAAGTTATTTCATAAAGACGAAGCACATTTTTGCCCTCCATGCTCCCCTGGGGAATAAAGTCTCCGACGGTGTATTAACCAGTCCAGTCATTTTGGTCGACTGCGCTTTAACTGCAAGGTATGAAAAACGTAACCAAGATTCGAGATTTCAAGAAAAATATTGTTTCAAACATGGTTTATTAGCAGCATTGCATCGTGAGATCTAAGATGTCCAGTATCAACCTAACGGCTCCAGGTCTTTGGCGGATTCCGGCTCAGTAGATCCACACACTTGCCTGCTAAAGCGCTACTGTACTCAACATGGGTTTGTGTATTAGTCATTTTTCCTGGGGTGTGGTGTGGTTAGGTGCTCGATACATCTAGTTGCTGGAAAGTTGTTCGAACTGGTTACGGTAGAATTATTGATACTAAAGGGATGAACCTGGAAGACAGATGTATATGAGTGAAAGACAGAGGAAAGTGAAGTGTTGGAGTAATGCGTGTACACCCTATTGGGACGAGGAGGGTGCAGAAATACGTGGAACTTAGGTGAGGTTAAATCGTAGCGAGCAAGACGGTTGCAAAGAGCTTAGTGATTAGGGTAGGAAGGGAATTAGTGCGGCGGTAAAAGTGTTGCGATAGTGTGACCTCAGGTGGTTTCTTCCGTCTAGTTTGTATTCCAACTAGATGACCGTAACTGTGGGTCATTAAGTAAATGTTTAGCTTTTTCTTGAAACTGTCGACAGTTGTGGCTGAGTTTATATCTGCTGATAATGCGCTCCAGTGTCTACAAACTCGAAGGAAGAAGTGTGAATGCTTACGAGTTTCTGAACCTTGGTGGTCCGTTTTCCTTGGGTTTCAACGAGGGTCACCCTGGTAGCCGCTCAGTAGAACACCTTTGTTCTGATGGCTTGGCCCATTTAGCATTTTGTAAGCCGTTTTCAAACCACCTCATAACCTTCGGTAACTAAGAGAGTTCGGGCCTATGTTCTTTCACTTATCCTTGTATAGTTTTTGCCACATCCCTGAAACACGCTTGTGGCTCGCCTCTGAATTTTCTCCGAGCCATTCGTGCCTCTTTTCAGGTGTGGTGGTACGAGGAAGTTATGGACCCCTAAGTGATGTCGTATGTAGACCTTGTAGGGTCTCGAAAAGAGCTCCGAGGTAAGGTCACCTAGATGTCTAGAAACAAAGTACACTACAGCTCATTCTTTTGAAGCGCCTCCTGAGTAGCTGAATCTGGTATCCAGTTTCTCCATTACCATTAGACCCATATCTTTCTTAGCGGTGGTATGAGAAAGATGTGAACCACGAGGAGAGATGGAGAGGGCAGGACACTTTCAGTGGATCAGAGGCGCGGAAAAGCATGGACCGGCACTTATCCAGGTTCAGTACCAATTCCTTATCTTTCGCCTACTCCTTTAAAGTTTTGAGGTTGTCCTGCTGTGCATTCAATTCTGTTTTCCATGTCGCCGCCCTCCATAACTTGACGTTGTCAGCGTAGACAAGAACCTGAGAGCTGATATGCAGCGGGACACAACTCACGAGGGGCTGGAACAGCAACCGAACGGGAGGCGCTCCTTGAGATACACCGGATGATGATGTTCTTCAAGTTGCACAAACCCTGTTCACTTTGGTGCAGAACTCTCTACTGTTTGGCTAATTCTGGAGCCTCGATACCACCTATACGTGGACATCCAACCCCGCTATCTCGTATTTGGGATTCTGTGTCAGACTGAGTCAAAGGCTTTGGCGAAGTCCATAAAAATTGCATCAAAAGTTTGGAGGCTCGGGGCCTATCCCTCTGTTTCTAGGCCTCCCTTGATATGATCGTCTACCATGATTCCCATAAATCTAGACACTACTGGTGGAGGTGCTATGGGTCAGTAACACTCGGGATTCTGCCTGCCCACTTGTTCGAAGATGGGAGGAGGGTGGCGCGTTTTCACGACTGTGGGGGCCTTTGTTCATGCAAGTAGCGTTGCGAAAGGTCAAAGAGTTGACTACTTAGGGCACCCGCATTTTGTTTCAACACAGATGGTAGGATGTCGTCGAGCCCGGAATTTTCTGGCACTTAGTTTAAATAGCTCATCAAGAACAATGTCACGAGTTATCTGTAGCTTGCGTAGCTCTGCTGCCCCCAATAATGGATGCGACAAACAGAAAAACGATAGCAATCAATACTTAAGTGAATAAATCGATAAATTTTTATTCTTACATTAGTAATTAACATGAGATACTACATGGAGATACTGCATAATATTTTTTTGAGGGAGTTGTGGACATCTGAAAATATTTCAAGTTGTTATTCGTCGTAGACTGACGTCAGTTGGGGGAACAAAAGAAAACTGGGAGCACTGGACAGCTGTTTCGTCTTAGTGTGGGACTCCCCAGCAGTGCGCCCCCATGACCCCACACCACCAGGGATCTAACCCATGATCTTCAGGTTCCGCGGCCAGTGCGTTACCACTGAGCTAGCCACTGGGTCAGAATCTAATGGTCCATATTTCCAACTTCTGCTAGTTCACGATATAGCACAACCGCCACCCAATGTCATCCAGCTAGTGTCAGTCTGCGATGAACAACAACTTGAAATACTATGTAATACGCAAGTCCCAATGTCAAAGTTTGTGAGATAACAAGCCGAAGTGAATTCTTGTTTTTTGTGCGGCAACTGTTCCATAGGCATTATTCATAAGCTGCAAAGTACTCTATGAAGTCAAGCTTTCATTAGAAGCCCGATATTATTGCTTTATCAGGAACTTGGCTGTCTTCTAGGATCAGTGACTGTGAAACACATTTACGAGAATCCGTTCCATGAGTGGCCGCGTCATCGTTTATGTAAAGAATTCCACCCTTCATTCTGTGGACTGTTCCAGGAAAACGGAAACATTTTCGTCCATGGATAAACCACGAAATCGAAATCCTACTGCGACGTAGGCAAAAGTGTTGGAGTCTTTCCACCCACCTTGGGACTCTCGAGGTAATGAAACTTTTCGCAGAGGTTCGAAATAAACTTATCGCTGCCATCCACCACTCTCCAATATTCCACTAAGCACATCTTGCCCAGGCTACATGACAGCATCCAAAGAAGTTATTTTCTATGTGAACCATGAGAATAATATGTATAGTGGTATACCGGCCCTAACCGAAGGGGTGAAAACGGACTGTTTAACCAAAGACAATGAGGGAAAATCAGAAGCTGTGGCTGGATATTTTGCTGAGGTCCTAAAACAGGACTCTTTGGTGGACAATTATCCAACAGTCGAAGCATCGATGTCTGACAGAATAATCTCTGCACATATTGATAGCAGCTATGTATTTCGAACATTCACTACTTTCGGTGTAGAAAAATCAACGGGAACGGATCAAATGCACACAAGGCTGCTCTGAGAGGTTGCACTGTATGTGGCCGGCCCACTGACTTCAATATTTAGGCTGTCCCTCGGTGAAGGCACGTTCCCCTGTGACTGAAAGGATGCCATGGTCACATTTGTCTGAAAGGCAGGTTCTAGACAGCACCTGTCAAACTAGAGACCGATAGGTTTGTCTGGTCTGTAGTAAAAATCTTGGAAAGAGTGATAAAGAAAGCCGTTGCAGCTAACTTAGAGCGCAACAGTCCATTGTCCGGTCCGCAGAAATTTCTCCCGCTTGACGAACCTCTTTACGTTCGGGGAAAGTTGAGCTAAGTCTAGAGACGATAGGATACCTATAGATGTCATTTTCATAGACTCTAGAAAGGCGTTCGATAAGATGCCTCACTTCGGGTTGCTCGGGAAACTGGAAAGTTTGGGAATCACTGGCAATCTGCCTACAGGGATAAGAGAGACGAAGAGAAAGGATTAATTTTCAGCTCTCCGCTTGGAAGTCGGTGGAGAGTCGAATGCTGCTAGACACGGTGATGGGATCCCTTCGATGTCTCCCAGACACAGTGAGATGTCAAATATTGAGAAATCTCACATTGTTCTCCACGCTGACGATGTTAAAATTTGGCTTGAGTTTAGGAATGACAAGAACATACGTACACTTCAGGCGGACCGGAACAGCTCGTTTACCAGGTCAGAGAAGTGGCTGAGCCCCATCAACGCAGGTAAATGTATGTGCATGCATTTGGGGCACGCATATGGCAACACTCACGATACTAGTGGGACTCCCCTACCATCAGTACTGACCCACAATGACCTGGGATTCACGGTGAGTTAACGCTTGATAGCCACAGAACACTATCGACTGGTAGAAACTCGGAGTTTTAGGACACTAGTCAATACGCAGAACTGACGAGTCCCAAGTAGGACGAAGTGCGCATCCTGGATTCCACCGCTAGCCATGGCCTATCATTACCATTACTGGGAACGTTTACAAAAGTAAATGTTGGTATGTTCATCACGATACCCGCATCTTTGGCTAGATCCCAATTAGAAAACTGTACACAGACGTTAAATTCTTATCTGAAACGTGACGTAGACCTTCAGCAGAGAGTTTACATGGCAGTCTCTCATGTGATCCCCACGATGGCTGGCCTCACTTATGTAGATCAACCTGATGGGCTGAACCCACTCTCCTTATCATACTGCAGACAGAACGGAGATCTAATCATGCCATACAGGATTCTAAGAAATGACTTCGGACCTCATCTACCTTCCTTTCCACTAGGTTCGAACACCCCAGCGAACATGGTAGGAGGCCGCAAAAGCAAAGAACGGGCACTGAGTAATCAATCCCTGAATCTGACTCCCAGAAGAAGTGGTGTCTGCACCATCGATTGGCTGTCTTAGAAGATGATTGGACAGGCACAAAAATCTACTGGAAAAGGATAAGCATGGCTCATAGCCTTCTATCCTCAAACAACAAATCTGAATCGGATCTTAACTGTTTGTCTTCACATTCAATGTATCTTAAAAATCCTGACCACTAACGGCACCCATTCCATATATTTTTACTTTTTTTAGGACAAACCATGCAGCTCACTAACCTCACTCACTTATTCCGATTCAGACTGGACACACAGGAAAAGCTCTCGTCTTCCCGGCAGACCAGAGGATCATGAACCAAATGAATGCAAATCCAAATCCAAAGTAAACCCCTGCATTGTCTTAGATGAGGGCTGGAAGGCGAAATAAAAAGAAAATCAAGGATGGACAATAAAGCGAGACCAAACACCGTCAGCTTCATGTACTTGCACCATTGGACGGTGAATGCTGAAATAGACAGACACTACCAATATCCAATACTGATAGTGCAAGCGTAGAAAGCTGATAGTTTTTGATCTCTCGCGTCTACTTCTTAGGGCTTGGTTTGAGTTGGCAGGTTTGCTCCTGCAGTTGACGAAGAAATCCCATCTGTTTTCTTGCTTTTAGCCTTGATGAGGTGGATGATTTGTGGGCTAGTAAGTTGTAATTTGCAGACTGATTGGGGAGCTACAGGTTGCTGGGAAGGCTAGGGGACTGTTATGACTCTTGCCTGTGTAGGCACCTGAAAGAGAATATTGAGGTAGTGCTAAAGAATGAAAAAAATGAAGAAGAATAAAGAAAATAAAGGAAGAGAAAAGGGAAAAGGAAGAAAAATAAGAAGAGGAAGGGGTAAAGAAGGGAAATAAAAGAGAGCGAAAAGTGTGTGCGGATTGCCCAATCAATTAAAATAGATGTTGTGGGTCTTTCTCCTGGAAAAAAATGGTAGGTAATGTGGGTGTATCAAGGGGCGAGATGGTGAGTGGTAGGTAGGAGGGAGGTGAGGGTGGGCTAGTACGTCCGTGGTAGACCTGCAAAGCTATAATCAGGAAGACGCGAAGACTTCTGCGACTATCGAAAGAATACAACCGAACAAAAAGAACCGAGCCTAAATACCTAGAAGCGAGATCTCGAAAACCACAAGCTCCCTCAACTAGCACTATTGGCATTCTACACTTTCTGCGTAGACAGCTTGGCTCCCTCACTCCCGAACTCTTCCTCACCATTTTCAAATCCTACGTGCGGCCGCACCTAGAGGTCTTCAACGCGGTGGCTCCTCCAACACTCAAGAAAGACTCTAATCTCCCTGAAAGAATACAAAGAACTGCAACAAAATGCGTTGTGGGGCTAAGGGGAAAGACGTATCCTGAAAGACTTAAACACCTAAACCTATTTCCGTTGGGTTATCGCAGGAAAAGGGGTGACCTCATTATGGCATACAAGATCACCCATCAGGCAGACCATGCAAACAAATCAATTTCGCCTGCAACTCAACGATCTTCACGAGGAAACCCCATTAAGATAGCACATCAGAGAGCCAACACCATACTCAGGTCCAAATTTTTCTCCCTAAGAGTATGTGCTTTATGGAATGCCTTACCGCGACACATCGTTATAGCTCCTTCAATCGACCCTTTCAAGGGCGATTAGACAGTTATGTCAACTCGCATGGACTACCACGGACGTACTCAGGTAGTCACCAACCTCACTTCCCCCCAACTCCCTCCTAACTACCACTCACTATCTCTCTCCTTAATACACCCACATTACCTACTAATTCTTCTGTAGGAACCAAACCCACGTGACCATTCGGACAATTCCCAAATACTTTCCTTTCGTTCTCATTTCTCTTTTCACCCTTCCTTTTCTTCTCCTTCCCTTTTCTCTTCCCTACATTATCATTATTTTTTCTCTTTCCTATTTCTCTCTTCATTCCTTTACCACTACCTTACTATTCTCTTTCAGGTACCTACACAGACAGGAGTCACTGCAGGTCTCTAAACTTCCTAGCAGCCCGTAGCTCCCTAATCACTCTACAAATTACAACCTACTAACCCACAAAACATCCACCTCACCGAAGCTAAAAGCAAGAAAGCAGAGGGGATTTCCTCGTCCACTGCAGGAGTGAACCGAACAACTGGAACCAAGCCCTAAGAACTAGATGCGAGAGATCAAAAACTACCAGTTTTCTACGCTCGCGCTATCAATATTGGAATATTGGATATTGGATTGGCATTGGATGTTAGTAAACATTTCGATCTTTGCGTTGCTTCAAGGTTAGTTAACTAGTTTTTAACTGTAAATAGTCTTGTCATCTGTACCCTTGAGGTACTAAAAGAAGAGAGGTTCGAAAAGTAGCTTTTAGTTAGGCTTTATCTTTCACTTGAAAATATGATTTTAACTCTATTCATACATTCTATGCACTCTAATATTAGCCATAGAGTAATGTATATTGCTCTAATCAGGTTATGTATGCTCATTGTGTTGTTGATTAACATTAAGCGTTGAATCACATTATATTCTACGTCTAATTGACGTGTTTATCATGTTTGTAAAGGAATAGATGTTTTTGTTCGCAATATTTCAGAAAAGACAGTTAACAGGTAAAGAAGAACGTAGTACTCCCTATTTCCTCCAATTATTTGCTTCTTGTTGGGTTTATTGTTTTAGCCACGCATAAGTTAAACCATCTGTTGAAAACGTTTTTTACTCTGTTTTTACGTTACGTTTTTAGTTATTCTGTGTTGATCATCGCAGTAGGTATCCTTTTAAAGTTCTTGCTTCGCCTTGAACGTATTGATCGAAGGAGTTAAGATTATTTGCTGAGCTGAGGAGTTCAAGTCATTGACTACACAATGGGAGGGGCAAATTTTCATGCTAAGTTGGTTCGATCATGGTTTTTGAATTTTCTTGTGATGTACTTGGAGATAGTCAATCCTATCAGAGGAGAAAAGATGCAACATATTAGTACCGAGATCATTGTTAACTGAAGATGCTGAATCCCAGTATGCAATCACCTTGTTTTTTACTGTAAGACAGGGAGGGGAGAATGGGTTAAGCTGATGTAGTCGTTTCTCCTAGGGCAGACTCCAAAGGCCTACTGAAAGTTGAGCACCTACCCTCTGAATATGTTTAAGTACGTCAGCATCATTTTTTTAAGGCATGAATTGGCTACCTGAATACAGTATTCCAAGTAAGGTCTAACGTAAGCAGAATAGAGTATTTTGAACATATTCTGACCAAAACTCTTGATAGCTCTGCGGATGAGCCATTAATACCCGGAAGCCCTTTAGTGCAGCTGCATTGCAGTTCTCGTAGGTCGTCAAATCATGAATTATGATGATACTTAAGTCTTTCAGTTCAAAGATTGGGGGTAGTGGTGTATCATCAACGGAATACTGGAAACAATTGCTATGACCAATGCGGATTATTACACTTTTATGTGAGTTGATTTCCAGACTCCAAAGTTTGGACCAACCTACTAGTTCATCCAAATCCGCCTGAAGTGCATACTTATTAGCATCACTACGTGCGGCTGTCCAAACCTTTATATCATCGGCGAATAGCAGCACCGAAGAGTTGAGAACTTTTGGTATTTCCTTAAAATACAACAAGAAAAGTAATGGACCTAGGATTGTCCCTTGATGAACTTCGCTCATCACACGTTTCCATCCGGACAGTATCCCATTTACCCTCACTCCTTGCCTTATGTCTTACAGAAAGTTCCTAGTCCAGGCTTCCAATCCGGCGTTGAACCCTAAAGAGAAGAGATTTCCTGGTAATTTCACATGGGACACTTTATCGAATACCTTACTGAAAACTATAAACACAACATCTATTGGGAGTTTTGCGATCCCAGGCTGAAATCTATTCATTTCGCGTTGAGAATGTTTGTTAAATAAGTGTCCAGTACGAAAAGTGTTGCTGTGGTGCCAAAACATCATTTGACTCAACATGATTAAGTACATTGTCACGAATTATTTCCTCGAAAACCTTAATAACTATACTTGTTAGACTCACCGAGCAATAGTTAGCCACCAACTAGGGACTACTGGCCTTAAAACCGGGCTGATTATAGGATCTTTCCAGTCTTTAGGAAGGCGTTTCTGAGATAAGGATATATATAAAAGACTAGTGGCTGGTTCGGCAATGTCCGATAGCAAGGATAGCAGTCTGGGGTGAAACTCATCGGGATCCAGGTATTTTCCAGGTAAATTCCACGTTGCTAACGACTTACAAAATACCGAGTAATCGAAGTCACCCGAACGATGGAATTCTTCTGAATGGCCACTGTGACAGTCGTCGAGGTAACCCAAGGGGAATCGGCCATCAAATGAGGAAACCCGTATGCGCTTACACTTCTCCTGTCTGCTAGTTTGCGGCCGTTTGCCGGAGGCTTCAAGAAGAGGTTGGACAGTTATGCAGAGGTGCGCAGCTTGGACTTATTCCGCTGGGATATGGACTAGGTTGATACAACAAACTAATTCTGTACAGCCCAGCAAAATGAACCCTATTTTGAATCCTTTCTACTGCCATTATCATCGTAAGCTGGACTTTCCCTTATACCTCCCTGTTAGACATTTCACTTCAAGCTACCATGCCCCCACTAATAACATTGCTATTTCTATTCCCATAGTCCGTCCTTCATCTTGCTCTTTCTCTTCCCTCTGTCTCTATGATCACTGTTATCTCCCACAAGTCTTCCCAGGCTTCTCCTTCAGTTCCGCTTTCGCTCACCTTGTTTTTTCATACTTCCTTGATTTCTCCGGATATTTTTTTCGTCCTGTCTTTTTTCCGAACCAGTCTGAACCCACCTGTACCACACTCCTTGAATCCCGACCGATAGCTGCTACCTTGACGTGGTGGTCGGGCTTGCATATCACAATGACCCAACGAGCTATGCTGGTGGAACGCTTGTTCCCTCGAGATCCTACCATACCAAAAAGGTCTGTTGGGTAGTGGTTAGACGAAAAGCAGTTACCGTTATAGTGTAAATTGCTACACTATGATGGGGGTCTGAGGGCGAAGTCGTACTACTGCTAGCTGGATGGAATGGACAGCAGTAAGGTGTTTCCCTTGGATGACCAGCAGTGCCAAGCTGATGCTGCCTTCTCAGTGGAAGCGTGGGGGGGGTTTGAAAAGGTCGGCCCCAAAAATAACACACTCCACCATGCCCCACGGTCTGCCGGGCCGGCGGTGTTGGTTCACTTGTCGTTTCCTTTCGCTCATCCGGCCCCAAAAATACAAAAATTCAAAATAATCCAACTGAAAAGGCTGGGTGTGACAGGCCTCAAGCAGATGTCCGATGGGCTCTGCGGTCACACAAATCTCTTTCAGGTACCTTAAGAAGAAATAGCCTTCCACGGTGTGGGCAGCCGGGAAGTGTCAGCCGCCCTCACAACTCTGTCAGCACCCAAGTTTCTTCTCACTGCTATCC